TTAATTCTTTGGAGTGAAATAAGTGATATGTTAGTAATGTAGAGTGCTAACAAATTAAGGTAGGTAGGTATATTGGTTGAGAATAGTGCAAAGTGCTCAGAAAAAAACGAGAGAAGCAATTCGAGAGTAGAATTTCATGTGAACCCTTAAGTAGTTAGTGTAATTGTATAGTTTAACATATCACAGCACAAGCATCTTTATTCTTACGAATCTAAGGTTTGTTAGTTTATGGTGAAAAAACAGTATAGAACCACAACGTCCACAGTAGCAAAAAGGATTCACACCAGTGTGGTAAAAGTGAGATACTGAGCACTATGCTTATCATTTAATATCGCATAACATCAACGCCGTAAAAATCTTAAAACAAAAATAACAACGAAGGCGTAACGCCTACTTTAAACGGAACTACTAGCGGAATTGTATTGGGTTAGCATATGACACTGTGATTCCAGTCTCTGCACGTTAGCGACGAGGTACGAGTTTTCGACGTACAGATCCTTAACGAGAATGTCGGTCTTAGTTAGCCTTTCCAACTGGTCGTTGCATACCCTCATTTGGTATTCGAGTTTCTCCTGACTGGATTTTAACATATACTGAAGCTCTGCCTTTTCTCCCCGATACTGCTGCCAACAATCTGAAACATAAGTCAGAATTTTCAAACTGGACCTCTTGTCTTTAAAATTGCAATAATTAAATACAGTCAGCAGAACTCACATTGTTGGTTAACAGGTGGTCCAAATTGGACACTTTCTTATGAAAACACCCTTTATTTTTTAGAGATAGGAAAAAATGGACCTACGGTCTATTCAGTATATCTTCCGTTGCACGTCATTACCTGAAGAAAACGACGTACCAACGTAAACTTACTTTCGTTTATTAGGCAACACATTAAGCATGTAGTTTATTTTAGCCGCAACAATTGGTAGCATTTCGCTATGTTGTCGCGTTTAAATTTGTAAATTTGACAGGTTGCTTTTGGTTTACTTTTCGTTTGATTTGATTTTGATTATTTTCTACGTCTTTCGCTGTGCATTGGTTTGAAGAGAAATTACTGAAGAATTTAGATAACCCGTCAGTAATTGTGTTCGATAACGGGAAAACAGACAACATTAAAGTGTGGTTAGGTGATCATAATGTGCAGTTCCCCGAAAATGATTTTAAAGCCGAACTGTTGAAAAGGTTGCACAGTAAGTACGTTCGCAAATTATTTGATGTTATATAAATCTTGTTGATACTTTTAGGAATAAATCAGCTAAAATGTACCGCATAAGACATTGACCACTTAGCCGAGCAATACGGTTACGTCGTTTTACGATTACCACCCTATCATCGCGTTTTTAATCCTATCGAACATATTTGGGGCATAGCGAAAAATTACTACAATCGACACATTGGTAGAGATGGACGAAGCATTGAAAATTGCATAAACATGTGATAAGAATCACTACAATCGATAACTTCCGAAACGTGGCGCAATTCAGTTAAGGATACGGAAACTGTAATACACGAGTGGTACGAAAGAGAAAAGCAATTAGATCTTGAAAACGTTGCTACTATTATTATAAACTTTGAACACGAAAGCAGTTCCGATGATTCCGATTAATTGGAATATCATCCATCACATCACATAACCTGTAAAATTTTATATTTATTACTTTCTCTGTAAAAGAGATGCTACATTTGTACAGTTCATAAGTTATTAAAGTATATTGTATGTACCAATTAATGAAATGAATAATAAAAATTATGTTTATTTTATTTAAGGTGTGGTTTGTTCACACAAAGAATGCACTGTCTTGTTGACAAGTGACATAACCTAAATCGCTCAAAACTAGATTTGGCATTATTGCATAGTAATTACGTCACAGAAAATGATGACGTGCAACGGAAGTTATACGGAATAAAGTGTAGGTGTCTGGAGCCCAATTTTACACAGAAATTCACTGGCGCAAACAGAACTCGGCTATCTCTAATCGTTTGGCCGAATTTCTCGAATTTAGTCGATTTCCTTAATGCCCCATTCCTTTCTTATTATTAATGCCAAAATCTAGAGCAGTAGAATGTAGAATCCATTGCAATACACTGTTTTTATACAACGCATTTGGTTTTGAGAAATTTGAGAAACGCCCCCTAGCGGCCAAACGATTGGAGATCGCTGAATTCGGTTTGTGACAGTGATTTTCTCTTTAAAATTGGGTTCCTGACGCCTAGGTCCATTTTTTTTCTATCTATGTTGATACTTTTGGTAGTGCTCAAAGTATCTTATTAAACAAGAAAAATATTACTTACTTTGAAGCATTTGCTCGGCATGATAATGCTGTTGCCTTAACACAACTTGCAAGTGTCGTCGTCGCTGCTCCAGATGATGAAGCCGGCAATTTAAATTATGCAGCGCCGCGATAGGGAGCGTCACCATTTCTTCCGCATTATTTCGTTTCCATCTTAAAGACGAATTAGGTACACTGGCAGGAAACATATTTTTGTTATCGTCCTTATTAATCAGTCTTTGAACTTTGCCGTTCTTATTATGTTTCCGGCTTCTTTTAGGCCTACTTGGAATAGAGTTATTATCCGTTACTGTAGATGCTGATTCAGCTGAGGTAGACGGTAAACTAACTATAGAAAAGGTTTGAGGAGAATTATGCCATACTTGATTAGTGGCGTTATTAGATTCGACGTTTTCGGTGGTGAAAGAAGCAGGTGAATTAGATTGTCTATTCTTATTCCATAGAAATGCAGGATTGACATAATCACGCTGTATCAAGTGAGTCTGAGACGGCGAATAGTCGATGGAGTTTGGTTCGGATTCTGGTTTAGCACTACTCCAACCAAAAGGCATCGTATCCGCCGAAAATATGTTTGTTGACTCGATCATGCAGTTTGACAAGTTGCTCATTTTGTTTTCTATACAATTTTCACCCTGACATTCGGCGCTTGACACTTGCACCCCCATTTCCAACGTATTTCTCTGCTTTAATTCAATAAGCTTTTCCTTCAAATCGGCAATTTCGTTTACTTTCTCTGCAATTTGAAATTCAGCATGCTCCTTATATTCATCAAACTCCTGTTCTAAGTCTGTAAATTGTTTTTCTAGACTATAGGTCTCTTCTATTGGCGGTAGACGATAGTCACGTTCGTCTTGGACGGCAAACTGTGCTTCGTACTCAGCCATTTTTCCAATAAGCTCTGTTAACTTGTCACTACTTTGCTTCTGCTCTTGCTCAAACATGAGCCGCTCCTCCTCCAATTTCGACGACCAATAATCCTCGCATCGTTCGTATTCGTTACGAAGTTCCTCCACACACCTTTCCAATTCGGAACATTTGTTCACTAAGTCTTCATTCTCCTTGATGTACTTTTGAATTTCATCTTGCAAGTTGTTATCTATCGTTTTACTCGCTTCTCCACCTCTTGCATTTTTCACCAAGTCATTAATATAATCGACGTAATTATCTTTTTCGAAAATAACAGCCGTCAGTCTATTATTAAGGACTTTTGCGAACGTAGTACATTCGCACGCACACGATCCTGGACTTTGCGTTAACATTTTACTCAAATCCTTCTGAACGGAAATGATCAAATCTTGTAATTCTGTGCACCTTTTTGTTAACTGCTTTACTTTCAGTTCAATGACTGTCGAATTTTCCTGAAACATTTTGAAGTATTATCTACTCTGATTCATAATTATGATAAAATTTACAGTAAATTAGGGCAGGGTGTACAAGAGTGAAATGGCAACAGTCAAGATGATTTCAATTATACCTCTATTTTAAAAATTTAAATTATATTTAACGATATTATATTTTCTGGGTGGCCAGAAAGAGGCGAATTGAAAATATATTGGTATCAAATTCAAGATTTTACAGATAGTTTTTTGTGTGTGAGAGACAAGCATTGCAGGTTGAAGAGAGAACAACAATCTCTCAGCTCGAGCCATACAATGCACTTGTATCTTTGGGTTTGCCGGACAACAGCTAAATGAGCCTCGCTAAACCTGCGTAGTACACAATCTTTTTCAATTGCAAAATGATAATGGGTTAGACTAAACTAGAAAATCAGATTAGGATTTTTTCTAAACATCTGATTATCAGTACATACTGACATTCGTATTTTCCAACGAAGTTGGGTGCACTATTGCAGTCACTTTTCCTGTCCGTCCGAGGCCGGGACTACTCCTAGAGTTTAGTTTTTCTTTTATTCGGTAGCTTATAGCTCAGGCACCTGAGCCAAGAGAAATCTTGACGATTAATGTGCGCAATGCCAACTTACTAGTAAAGGTAAACATGGAAAATGCGCTAGTTACTCACCTTAGGGAGGAAATCTATTTTACTTGTGTTTACTTCATCTTTTTTTTAATGTAAGAAAATTGTTAGGTTCCTGTATGTTGTACAATACATGTTATCAAACGAGAAAGTGCGACAAGTAAAACATATTTATATTATTTAGTACAGTGCTGTAATATGGTACACGTCTTTCAAAAAATATGAAGATGATCTGGAACCTGTACAATGTCGCCTCCTCAAATACTTAAGTTACGACAGCAATGGCTTTTGGAAAGATTTCAGCTTGTATCCTTTAGTACAAGAAGAAAACGTATCAGCGTTACTTTTTTATCTAATTTATTGCAAAATAATATTCACTCAAGATGTTTGCATAATTATACATTTTCTGTTCCACGTCTTGTCATCCAGGCATGCAGTAACTTTCCATTTACCTCAATGTCAAACAAACGCTTTAAAAAATTCTCCATTTTAGATCATTATTTTTGTGTTTTGTTCACTTTTATTCAAATCTACATTTCCTTTTCATGTATGTAGCCTCATGACGAAATCTGGGCTTTTCTTTTGCTTTTTTGGGACGGTTTGAGAGCGTGTAAATTATTTGCGCTAAATTTTCGGGCAGTCAGCCTATGTGTCGATTTTATATTTTCAGATAAGTAACAAGTGTACAAGCAGATAAGAGTCAAAACGCCGTGTTGACGCGGTTTTGCGTTGAAATCATTTTGGTATTCGGGCTCGGCGAGTACATAAGCAAAAATTGGGTGGAAGAGAATGATTCTTCGCCGAACTAAACTAAATTGTTACCACAAAAGCATTGTAGTCCTGGGTGCGTAACGTTCATTGCGTTTATATCTAGAGTGGTTGATTACGAAAAAAAAAAACAAGTTTATTACTTTAACTAGTGTATAAAGTCAATGCTTTAACCCAATTTGTGCAACTCTCGTTTATACGAGGCGATTAATTCGCGTTTTTGCTAACGGTTTTATTTTAAAGGTAAAATTCACATTTCCATATTGCGGAACATTGGTAAATCAGTCCAGTGAATAAACAAAATTTAAACTATTAAATTTCGAGAAACCTGAAGCCTGGTTTGTTCCTGATTTCAGTAGTCAACCGTCTCTCAATATTCACTTTCAACGAGCACGAGTCGATCGTTTTTGCGATTTTGAAAATAAAAAAATTTATGCTCAAAATCAATAACATTCTCGAAGAGGTCGACCCACGGAATTTAATTCCGTGAGCAAATTTGTATTTTTTTAATGAATGATAAGCAAACCCAAATAAAATTGCACAAACAATAATGTACCTACTTTAGACTGCCATGATCGAGTTGATGTCATCTACACTGATAGCGTGTGACAGGATTGATTACAAAATTGTGTTCTCTTTCATCAAACATCTTAATGTTTGCCGATAATGTAAAGTTATATACTGCTATCTCGCCTTCTTCAAAGTCAATTGGAGAAGTTGATTGAACGCTTATAATTACTTGAAAATTAACCCATCTAAATCTAGAATTGACTTACATGATTAAAGCAAATGTCAACATATTATTATATATTTTTGAAATTAGAAAGAAAAGATATTCCATTTTTTGAAAATATACGGGGCTTGCCAGATTTGCATATTTTACTAACTTTGCGATATTCATTTGTTTTTTTTTGCGTTACATTTTCTGGCGATTTATGATAATCCCGACAATTTTTGTAACTAAAGTTTTTTTTTCTATCTCTTATAATACACTGTCTAAATATACGGAATAACCCTGTACACATGGGTGAAGTTAAAAAAAAATAAAAAAATCAGGCACCTACCTTCCTAAAAAAAAGATGAACGACGAATAGAGCAAAGAGTGATGTTGAAATAATGATACTTTTTACACCATGCACATGTGAAGTAGTTAATTAACTTCTCCATAAGAACCAAATAAAAAATTAAAGTATAGAAAAAATATTTATTTCGTGCAAGACATTTACAAACAAAAAATTATGGAGAAGCTAATAGAATGATAGCACTTAGAGCACAGAATAAAATAATACTGATTCAATCACAATAATCTTTAAAGTATGATCACTTTTATCACAAGAGTAATACACCATGCTAAATTCTCTAGCTTCTCCAAGCACAATAAAAGAACGTACAAGTCATCAATAAATTTTAAAAAAACAAAGCTCAAGTGCAACCATTCAAACAGAAACTTAAAAATATAATCCACCACAGTCGAAAGTGTTTTGAGGAAAACATCTAAACTTCATCGACACTTACCAATGAACAATTAATAGGGGAAGGAATTGGAATGCCATGCTGCATGAGAAGTTCTTCCAAACGCATAACTTTCGTTTGTAAATCGCAAACTTCCTTCGAATCGTTTACAGAAAGCGAGAGGGACGAGTCCAGGGCGTCTAGTTCGGTATCGAAACCGCTTTCACTGGAAGTTATCGGTACTTCTAAGTTATCGGATTTTGTTTTATGACACTTGCGAACTTTACCCAATCTTGGGCTTCCATCACCTAAAACAATTACGCGTGTAATGATCCCGAATGTAAGAGAAATAAGGAATTTTAATTGTCAGAGATATGCAAATGTTGAAACCTTGAAGCATTGTTTATGCGATATTTCTACTTTACCATAAAAACACAATATAATCTACTTGTGACGCATATACAAAGTCGGTGACATAGTGGAATATAAGTCTTGGCTATTAAACCTCTATGACGCTTACCCATCTGTCATAAAAAGTGACAAAATCGTTTCTGCTAACAATAAACTTACCAAATGATTCAAATTTCACATAAAAATTCTAAGGTCAAGGTATTAATAATGGATGATTGAAATAGTGAAAGTAGAAACCGTGATACAGATATTCATAATTTCTTTTTATCGACATGCTGTTTTAAATAATATTACCATACAAAAAAGGCCGAGATTAAGAAATGACGCCTTCAGACAAACTTTCCAATCGGGTATAATTTGAACTACTAACAAAATATACATACTGTCAGCTGTGCAATGTATGTGTAATTTGAAAAAAAAAAGTTTACGAAATCATTCGCATATTGAATCTCTGTACATAAGATTAATGTACTTTTAATTGATATAAATTTCTCACATCAGTTACAAGGTTGGCGTGAGCCATTGGCATTAATTGAATCGTTACCACCAATATACCGAGCTTCTTTTAATTCAATATCTAGTATAATATTACACCGAGCAATTGGCCTTCAATATTATAGAAACATTTACACTTTCAATGACGGTGAAATATCAGTTACACCATTCATGTATTCCATCTATATATTTATTTTAAAATGTTAGTAGCTATCTCGGTAGCTATGACCTTATCAGTACCAGAAGAAATTCATTCATTCATCTACACTACAGTACCAACACTTTGACTAAAAATATCAAAAATTATTTGTGTTTGTACCTCCATGTGCATACTTTTTTTAAATAGACAATGCTGAAGTTCCTCTTTTGAATCATGTCTATACTTCCTGCTATATAAAATCAACCTTCCATCTTAAAAATGTGTGGCCCGATTTTATTACCATTTGATTGGATCATAGGTAATATATATCCTAGTAGGCCTTGAACTAAGGAAAACAGAGGGCGAGTGTCCAAAATTGGAATTAATTCACAGATTTCATTCCAAAGGCGCCAACACGAATTGCCTCAGTGACCAACAATTGAATCTGGAGGTTTTTTCTGTGTCTTTGGCAGATATCGAACTTTATTATGTAAAGAGATATTTATGTAAACATAAAATAAAAATGGCGGTTACTGTCACAAGAGTACCTACTTTTTTTCAATTGAATTGGGGCAAGATTAAATGTTGATAATTAAAAAGCGTTGTTACTCTTTTTCTTAATTATGATACCCATAATCGACTAAACAGTTCTCAATTATTAAATTGTCTACTAAATTAACAAAGACTACTTGATTAAAATATCAAAAAAGTCTCACCTCCCCACCTCAAGATGATGCACTCTTAAAACGGAGACGCGACAAATATTCTGATTTTATTTTATTATTAAATTTAGCACATGCAGTCTTAATTCCAAATTAGTTTATGAAAATTCAGAGAAAAACCTTTAAAAAAGGCATCTATGTTAAAAAGAAAGTTGGCATTACGCAATGCGTACCTTATTTTTGCAATATGCGATATGTTTTTGCCTTTACTAGAAGCATCTATAGAAAAAGAAGAAATATCTATAAGTAAGGAAGTTGGCACAATGCGCATTGCACATGCATGTTTACAATATGAGATATGTTTGGCTTTAACAGAAGCATCTGTGATTAAAATGTCAAAAAGATATCTCGATAAATAAGACAGTTAATATTGCGTATCCTGCACATGCGCACATTAATCTGATGTTTAGAATATGCGATACGTTTGCTTTTACTAAAAGCATCTTTGGTTTAAATTTCAAAGAAATATCTTCATAAATAAGAAAGTTGGCATTGGGCAGTCTGCTCATGCGCACATCTGATTTTGACTATATGCGATATGTTTGCCTTTACTAGAAGTATCTCTGGTTAAAATTTCAACTAAATACATTAATAAAAAAAATAAAGCTGATATTACGCAGCCTGCGTATGCGCAAATTACTCGCCAAGATTTTTTTTGGCTCAACTGCTAGACCTATAAGCTTCCGAATTCAAAAAGAACGAACTTCGTTGGAAAATGCACTACAAAAGTAAGTAATGCGATTGAAAGACTATTTTCAGAGATAGAGATAGAAATTTTGAGAAAATGTTTTCAAAATCAGAAAGGACACATCCAAAAACGCTTCCAAATCTGTTGATTTCGTCCTCCTCTGTGTTATGGTTACCGAGAGTAAATTTAGGAAACGCAAAATTTTAAGAATTTTAATGGCGTAGTTCCCAAATGAAACATTTACACCTTCAGCTTATTTTTTAGCGCATTTCCACAAGAATAAAAAAAAAAATGCGCTATTGTGGCCACTTTGTCCGTCCGTCCGCTCGTTTTGCGACGCTACTAGTTCTTTATCTTAAGAGCTATTGTTCTACTTTTTTCGATATTTGGTTCGTTATGGTGTCGAGTCTTGTACCAAGGAAGGAATTTTTTCTGTACCGCTTACAAAAAAAGTTATTGTAAAAAAAAATAAAAAACCGTTTTTTACATGTTTCATAATTTTACACTTTTGCCGTTTATTAACGATCCTAGAGATCGTTTATAATTTTGCATTGCTATCTGTCGTCTGCCTGTTGGTCTGTCCGTCTGTTCCTTTGTCTGTCTGTCCATCTATCTGTCCGTGTGAACGATAACTTTGTTTAGAAATGTTCGATCGCTTTTACATCTCCGTTAGTTATGAACTGAATTGCATGAAATTCAATATGGGCATAGCTTTAGCCATATAATACGCAATGCCAAAAGTTGAATCGAATCGATTCAAAATTCACAGTGCCCTTTTCGCATCTCGACCATTTATAAACCGAATTGCAAACTTTTTTACTTATAAAAGTATTTGAATGAAATTTGATACATAGGCACTTGGAATAAAGGAAAATCAAACGCCAATTTCAAAATTTGGTTTTGCGCATGCGCAGTGCCAACTTTTTTATTTATGGAAGAATTTNAGTTTTAAAATTTAGGTTTGCGCATGCGCAGTTCCAACTTTCTTATTTAGAAAAGCATTGAAATGAAATTCTTCTCATAAACTGAAATTGAAGTAGCACGTCAACAATGGATTGCCCATGTGCAACGCTATCTTTCATATTTGTGGCCGGATTTTTACGATTTTAACAGAAGTTGCATCTTACAAATGGGAAATGAATGCAAGTGGAAATGCGCTTTATGTAAATCGTTTACGATTACTTTTTAACTTGTTGTTTTTATCCCTACTCTACCACCCAGTTTTTTTACAAACTTCCTTGTTACAGAGTGTAGCATCAATATAATTGCTTAAAAGATACCGAAAAAAGTCTTAGAGCAAAATTGTATAAAATTACAGTCGCCATGTTTCTAAAATATTTTTGAATAACTCCCCATTATTATAGTTAAATTCGGGTTTCTATTAAAGAAATTGGATTGTTTATGCATATTCCTAAACATTTACTAAAATGTCACTCGAATTTTGAACTCATGTTTGATTTTTTTTATAAACATACAGTTTTGAAATCAGGTTTTTTTTCTCTATTAGACGACCTAAAACTTTAAAATAGCTTCCATATGAAAAACAAAAGTTGGTATTGATATAACACAATGGTTCTCAAACTTATTTCCATGGCACCTCCTTTCATAAAACTAAAATTACTCACGGGGCCCCCTATTCTGATTAAAAAATAAAAAGTGTTGCTACTACAAACGTATTTATTAAAAAATTACAAGGTGAGTTTTTTTCATTATGGGGACTCGGAAACCGTAAGAGATAGAAAGCCGTTTGGGGCAAATTTATGCAAAATTGTATGGTGATTAATTTTCCCTTTCAAAAAGTCTTGTAGGTCTACAAATAGCAAATTATGGCCAAAAAAACGAAAAATGTCATTTTCGAGAATACGTTGGAGTTCCTTTATTTTCAAAGATATCAACAAATAATTTTAACAAAAGCTTGGTAAATTTTTCTTAACTTTCTGACGGTGCTAAAAAAGTTGTAAATAATAATATAATATAAATAATAATAAAATAAATAAAATATTGTTTTTCAATCAAGTCGGATATTGCATCCATAACATCAACGGCTTTTGAGGTCGTTTTTAGTTCATTCGAGATCTCTTCTTTTATAGCACATTAGCAACATCATATATTGCACACTGGCAACATCAATGCTTTCATCAGCATAAAGAGGCGAATTTATCTAACGTAACAATGTCTCTTTAAAGTCCTCCAAACTGCACTCGACTGCAAATCAATATATCGAACCATTTCAGTAGGAAAGCCTTGTTCCTTTACTTAGAAATTTAATTTTCACTACTTTCTCGCCACCCTGTATAGACGTGCACATGTTATGCTTATTCGAAATGATTCAATTTAAGTAAAGTTCGGAACGTATTTATCTATTTTAATAATAATAAATTAATCAATATTTCAGTAAAATTTAAGTTAATAGTAGATACCGCCATGACATCCCTCTGTATGTACGTCATATTTAGAAATGTTTAAAGGGGATAAATTTTGTTTTTTGATTTTATTTACTTAGGCATAACTCAGGATCATTTTTGCCCATTAACCAAGTCTCTATCTATGCTAATAAACGAGATCTCTGTACGAAATTTGAAACAGCCTGTATAATTATATAGAAAAATAAATTTGTCATGTAATAAGGGAAAGGAATGCAAAAAATTACGTTACATTTAAAAAATACAAACTTTGGTTCAAGTTTTTTTTATTATGCCATTAAGTAAGATATGATAACATCCCGAATTCGTTTTCAAACATAGCTAGAGTGATTCTGATTGTGGTATCTATTCAAAGTTTCACAAAAAAGTTGCACAGAGTTGCGAAAACTACGGGTGGAATTCATAGATATTACTTAAGTTACACTTACACTTCACTCATACTTAGCGCGTACTTAGTGGTATTCAAAGATATAGTTAAGGTGACGCATGACATTATTGCTATAGTAACGCGCGAAATTTGGACAGATACTAGCAGTAAATATAAGTTCCACTTAAACTAAACTAAGTGTGCACTTAGTAAAGTGTAAGTCTAACTTAAGTAATGTCTATGAATTCCACCCTACAAGTCTCTATCCTCGTCTCTATATTTAAAAATAGCTAAGATATGTCTCAACCAAAATAGGACACACTGTATATCAACAGAGTATAACTCGAAATTCCGTCCCAAGAAGCCTCAATGGGGATGAGAAAAAATTCCGATTACACAACCAAACCGAGTTTGAGAAAATTGTTAAACGCCATTCGATTTGCGCATGTGCGGCCATCTTTTTTTTGAAAAGCTGGTATGAATAAGTAACAAACTCCAGTACCAAATTTCAGATCTGGAATGTTTTCGCACTCCCTATTAAGGGTTTTTGGGAAGGAATGGAACGAACGCATGCATCATACATCTCGGCATATATTTTGGTTTGGCCCTCTCTACAACATAATTTTTTTTACCTACTTACCTGCACATTTTGTGGTGATTACTCATTCCTATAAGAATTGTGTTTATATTTACTAAACCTAAACTTAATCTGTAAATATGATCATGTCACACAAATTTCCACTGTTTTAGTTTGAATTACATAACATAATTTAGATCACTTTTGATTGGACGCCCTCCCCTGTTTTGGTTATCTTTGCAACTGTTTTAGAAGGCGTTTTTTTTGCTGAGTTAGTCCGGAAGTTATATATAAAAGTTGTAATATGTGTCGCTGCAAATTTTCAATCAGATGCACCAAGTACTAGACAAGACTAACAGAATGTTATGCAAATAGATTCAGATTATAAATTTTAATGGCATTTGCATTATATACTTCATCTAAATTTTATACAAGTAGAACCAAATAGAAAAGATGTCCTATAAATAGAATTATATCAAATTTGCGTACCTAGTTCCATAAGCAGAAATCTATTGACACTTCTGTGTGCTATTCACACCTACCATCAACTTGTAAAATTGTGACACTCAACAACTTTCCTTTTATTTAACTACAATAACCTACTTGTTTCTATTTACTGTAAATTTAATAACGAATTAAGGAGTGTAGAGTTTTAACATAACTGGTATTATTTAGGT